GATCTAATTTTTGAATAAACGTATAATTTCTGTTTCAACTTAGTGGTTAAGACTTGTACATGATCACGATAAGTCAGTTATTGTTACAGTTTGCAAAGTTGTTGCAATGTTGCTGTAGACTTGGTCCAGTGTGTTATTCCCACAAGTTGGTATGGGAACATGCTTAAAGTATTTTGGAAATACAGCCTGTAAGTTGCCCTGGTTAAAGTCACCAGCAGTAATAAAAACAGCATCGGGGTGGCTCGTCTCCACTGAGCTGATGACATCATTGATTTCCCGGAGCGCCGCTGCTGAGTTCACTCGCGGGGGATATAAACAGCAGCCAGGAGCACAGCGCTGAATTCCCGCAGTAGGAAGGGCGGACATTTCAGTAATAACTCTACGTCAGGTGATCAGAGCTTGTGAACAGAGTTGTTGATAAACACTCACACACACCCGCCTTTCGTCTTACCGGAAGCAGTGGTCCCCGAGTGTAAACATACATTTTTTTTAACATTCATTTTTGACTTTGATCAAATGTTTTAATTAATTTTTAAATGTGTCCGAATGAGTTGTGCAAAACATCTCCAGATACTGTAATGATGGTGATGATGATGATGCAGAGTCTGCTCAGAAAAGTTTCCTCTGAGCAAATTTTATCGGTGACCCCTGATTTCTCTCGTGTAGTAAACCGTAGGAGAGCTTCCTGTTCTGTTGATCTAACATTTTGTGAATAGCTGGGTTTCAGTCACGTGGTTTCGAAGGCGGAGCGATCTCCGCTGGAGGACAGGGGGTAAAATGTCTATGGAGGAAACTACTGTAGAGAGTTTATATTGTATGGATTTAGATCCTATTTCAAGATATATAACAACAATTTGTTCACAAATAAGTCAGACATGACTCATAAGATAAAGATGAATGGGTTTTAGACAGAACCTAAAGATTTGCTGAGGCTGTCGGTACCACGCACGTCTTACATCACCAGGTGCCAAATAACCAGCAAAAGTTTATCTGATGAATAATTCCACATGATTCTGCCCAACCCTATAACAACATATGATAACACTGATTATCACACAAAGATGAAAAATGTAGAAAGCTCACAGAACGACAACGTAAAAAAGTGGATTTTAAACCGTCTGCGGTCGGGAGGAGCAGAATGTCTGCAGGCAGTGATCACTAATCAGTTAGCTGCTAACTTGTTTTAGAGGTTCTGTTTGTAATGATAATTTATTTAGTAGTGAGTATTAAGTTACTGGTAGTTTAATGTGGACCTCATCTGGACTTTAGGCTGCCCTAGTTCTGTGTCGTTAGGTGCTGGAAGTTTTTGATGTCAGTGTCTACTGTTAGCATGATCGTAACATATAAAACAATCTCAGAATAAACACTCACCCTGGCAAAAAACAAACGATAATCATCATGGAGCTGTTTGGTACCGAGGTTGTGGATCCACCCGCTGAATAAAAAGTTCTACACCTCCAGTTGTTTGCTGGCTTTTATCAGCTGTTCCGTGTAGTTAGCATCCAGTTAGCGCCACCGTACCGTCTGCCCCGGCAGACCGGAAACGGGACCATAGAGTCTGCTCGGTGCTCGATCTTCTTCTCTTCCCTCATAATCGAAATAGTGAATCACCTACTTCCTCATCAAAGTCCTCACTCTGTCTCCAACTGTTTTTCCTCCATCTCTGCCTTTGAGCTCCTCTCTCAAACTGCGGCTCGGTCCGACCCCAGTCCAGCTGGACTGGAGCTCCACGTTCATTGCCTTTTTTTTTTTTTGCATCAAAAACACTAAAATAACTTACTAAACTTCACCGTAACTATGAAATACAGTATAGTTATACAAATATAATAAATGTAATAAATTTCGGATATCTCTTTGCTGACGTCCGATCTCGCTGTCTCTCCATCGCAGCCGAACTTTATTCAACTTCCGCCTCTTTTTATTTTTATCCTGTAGATTTTTTGCCACTTGTTTAATATTTTCAGGCTTCAGTCAGAAAGGAGTTTGGGGGGTTTAGGTTTGTTCGGCGGGGTTGGGGTGACACCAGAGGGTGGAATGAGGTGTTTTTCCCCATGAATCAGCCCTCTTTTACATCCTCCTGCTGCAACGTGCTTCAAATATGACAAACATTAATAAAAAGAGCCATAATTTAATTTAATTTAATATATAATTGAATCAGTGTATAATTATTTATTATTAATTAAGTTAGAATGATTGGAGCACTCGTAAACTACACAAGATATGGGCATTTTTTTCAGATATCAGATCCTCCACTTTTTCACTTCCGACCTCCATCCGAACTTCGCGCTCTAGTGGCGCTGCATCGTGACGTCACGTGAAACCCTCCTATTGATCCTGAGGTTTTGTGAAAAGCTGTGGAGCTCAGCTGGATCTGTAGGGGTTTGGGGCTTTTCTGTGAAAGAAAGTAGTTCTGGGGACTTCATGCAGCTTTTTCAACAGTAGAACTGCATCAATAACATCAATATACGTATACTGTATAACATAGTCTGCTCTGTTTCTGTTGCTTTAGCTTTCTGTGAGAACAACATGTACCGGTAGTTTAACACCTCTTATTTGTAAAACGAGAAAAAAAAGCAATTATAATGTTGACCTTGCTTTTATAAATATGAAAGTATCTAAATTAAAATGATTTGAAGATTCAGGGACTTCAACACAATACCAGCAGCATAATAAAACATAAGCAACAGGGTTTGTGCAGGGTTTTCAAAAGTCTAAAATTTGAAAATCAAAATTGTAGGTGGCGGCACGGTGGCTCAGTTGGTAGAGCTGATGCCTCTCAGCAAGAAGGTCACCGGTTCAAATCCCGGTCCGGGGACCTTTCTGGGTAGAGTTTGCATGTTCTCTCCGTGCATGCGTGGGTTCTCTCTGGGTACTCAGGCTTCCTCCCACAGACCAAAAACATGACTGTTAGGTTAATTGATAACTCTAAATTGTCCCTAGGTGTGAGTGAGAGAGTGAATGGTTGTTTGTCTCGTTTGTCTCTATGTGTGGCCCTGTGATGGACTTGCGACCTGTCCAGGGTGTACCCTGCCCCTCGCACTGTGACTGCTGGAAATGGGCACCAGTGACCCACGTGAYCCTGAAAAGGAAGAAGCGTGTACAGAAAATGGATGGATGGATGGAAAATTGTAGGTCTAAAAAGTCTTTAAAATGCCCAGATTTTCATCCAGTCTTAAATTTAATTTAGTCAAATCTTAATCTTTTTACTTTCAATCATTCCCAGAAGTGTTGGCTGCATAAATAAACAGAGTAAAGCACAGTAATCACAGGTTGATGTGATCTGTCTTCATGAAGTGCTGAGTTTGCTACCTGTCTTGGTTAAACTACAAATCCTGTAATAACTGCAGGCAAAAAATAGCACAGTTTACTTCAATGTTTTCGACCTCTTTGCTGCTACAACGCATGCAACAGCTTATGGACCTGCCACAAAAAAACAAAGAAGTTCAGTCATGTCCACTGCTTGTTTAAAAATGGAAAGTGTTTTCAATGAGACTTGTCTGGATATCAGTCATTTTTACACTCTGTTGGAAGCGGTCCACAGCAGTCTCAGATATGAGCGTTTCATTAAAATAATTCAGTGTTCTTGTATTAAAATTAAATATTATTTAATAACTGAATTGAAAGCAATAAAAGGTTTCTATGTTAAAATTTCTGGGACCATTTCAATGTTATTGTTAATGTGTCAGTTTAGTCTTAAATGTCGTTCCTGATGGTCTTAAAAAGTCTTTAAAAGGACTTAAATTTAACTTACTGAAACCTGCATGAATCCTGAAGCAATTATCTCAGGCAGGAGATACTGTAACTTTTTTTCCAGTGTATGTAACAACAGCATCATTTATATCAGGGATGGGCAGCGTCTGTAAGCAGACTAAACACAAAGGTTTGCCTTGAAACTCTGTGAACAGATTGTCTATCTCTGGAAAAATGTGTTAATTGTTTCATACTTAAAAAAGAAAAGCACTTTTAAAGCAGTTTCCAGAATCTGCTGCCAGTTGTCTGTCCCTGATTTATATATACATTCTTTTTTTTTTTAATCAACAGCAATATCAGGATGCCATCAGAGCTCATACCGCGGGCCGACCTGTCAGCCTGTCCGATCTTCCGGTGCCACCTGGTAAAGTTGTGAACGTCATATTTCAGGCTTTTGCTCCAGTTACTTGAGTTGATGAGTTTGTTTACGTGCGTTTCCTTTCTAGGCTGCCCACCGCTTCAGGGCTCAGAGGGGAGTCAGCAGAACTTCATGGGTGTTCTGGAAACGGCAATGAAAATAGCAAATCAGGATGCTGACGCAGAGGATGAAGAGGAGGAAGGACAAAAAGAAGCTGCTAAGGTTTGTAGAAAAAATAAAAACATGGATAAAGGCACCACCAAATGGTCTAATTGTTATAGGGCAGCCAGGAAACTTGATTGTTTGTGGAATAAACAAACTAAAAATCATTTTATAGTGTGCCATTTCATCTCCTGCAGCTTTCAGAACATGCTGTTTTCATCAGTACTAGCTTTTTCTCTGCACCTCCTGCATCACTTTTAATCTGATTAATAGAATAGAATAGAATAGAATAGAATAGAATAGAATAGAATAGAATAGAATAGAATAGAATAGAATAGAATAGAAACAGCTTTTATTGTCCCGCAGAGGGAAAATTCAGGTGTAACAGCAGCAGCAGATACATGCAACAATCCACAAAACGATATATTGCTTTGTGACATTATCAACAGTAGCAACAATAATAGAATTAAAATAATAATAATAAAAATAAAATAAAATTGCTGTACAAGGCTATATAAAAAATATTTTTTCTTGTAAAGACACACACAATGTAAAATGTAGAAAATCAGTTCTAGCCGCATAGCCTGTGTATAAATCTGTTTGTTTTATTTATTTTTTTTGTCTTCTGATTTTAATTTCTGCAGCCTGCAGTGCGTCCACCAGTCCAAAAGGCAAAGTCTCCAGCCCCCCAGCCCCCCCAGGCCCCTGGAGGATCCTCAGCTCCAAAACTGGGACCCAAAGGTTTGTTCAAAGCCAGGCATGTTAGGGGTGCAATGATACAGAAAATTCACGATACGGTTTGGCTCGATACTTTAGTCTCACGGTTCGATATTTTTTCAATAAAAAAAAAGAGAAATGTCCATGCCCCTTTTAACTTGTAATTTNGCACGCTGCTGTGTTGCACAACCAGCTCATCCATCCATTCTGAGTCTGAAAATCTTAACTTTGCGCACGAGTTTATTACCATAATTACTGTAAACACAGAGGAACTTAAATGTTTGGTAGAACATAGATCTTAGTTTATTTCATAGCTGACATTAAGAAACGAGTCTCTGCATCTCAGTAGAGAGTTCACATGACAAGACATGATGTTAGAGAGTCCCCACAAACACTGCGCGCGCCGCAGCCTTTGTGCGCAGTCGTTTGTCTGTCAAGCTTTTGCTCTCCTACTTACAGCATTTTCACAAGTTGTAAAGTCGACTTCCACGTGTCATTTTGGAGAAATCTACAACAACGTAAACGCCAAGTATGAAACACCTCCACTGCCGGCGAGGGTGCACRCGCTCCAGAGCGCGACCATGACTAAGCCTTTAGAATCATATGGATGAGACGATTCCATTGGGCATGACTCAGCTTTGGGTGGACTGGACTGGCACAGTCCTGATCGGTCTGCCAGCTCCCTCTGGAAAGCTCCTGTGGAACCCCAGTTTGATCGCTTCTTCTCTACGTGCATGCACGGCGCATGGCCCCTCACTGTGTCATGCTCCAGAGTGCAGCAGTGCCAAACTGAAAAAGGATTATCCCTGAAAACGGCTGATGAGCCACTCATCATCGTGGATCACAAAATTCTGTTTATAAATAAATGCTCTGCGTGTTACATTATTTATTATATCCTTCAGTAAGGCTGAATCTGTTCCTGGTAAATGTATTTTTGGAACAACTTTGCGCATCCTTTAACTGCGTCCATGTGGATGTCATAATTGTTAATCATGTGAACGAAATAATTGTTAATCATTTGGATGTAATAATTGTTAATCATGTGTGTCTGGTGTAAACAATAATCATTTTCACATCATGAACAGTTTCTCAGAATCAACTCTAAGTGTCACCAGTGGAACTGTTATGGCAATATTTATTTAACAAAGACAGAAATACGTGATCCAAGAATGAAGGTACTCCGTGAGATGATCAGCTGAGTTTTATTGCAACAAGAGAGGAAACACAGAGAACAACCTGGCCTGTCTCTGTGCCTCTGCTTCTCTCTGTCAGTCTCTCTGTGTCTCGAGAGGCCTCATATATATATTAACAAACACCATTATGTCATCTTAGCAAGATTTGATACAAGGTCAACGGAAAACACAAAGATAAACACAAGTGATATCTAAGAATGACTGTTGTTAGCAAATCTTGTTCTGACTTTAATCATTCTATCTGCAGATGCATGTCATGAAAAACTAGGTCATTAAAGGATGTCATGAATTACTAGCTTAAACATAAAAGTATTAGTTCCATTACATCTCCCCATCTGATCCTTATCGTTATGCCGGAGCAGATCCGGTCATGGACACAGAGGCCCAGGTCCCGAGGGCGCACCACCCCTCAGCCAAGGCCAGACAGGGTCCGAGCACCCAGCCCCAGACACCGAGAGCCACCAGTGCACCGGCGGGCAGAGGCACAACCCACCAGAGGG